GTCCCGGCGCACCTCCCCTGCCCCGGCGCACCTCCCCTGCCCCGGCACACCTCCCCCGCCCCTCACCTCCGGCGCTGTAATGCTGGTGCGTAGCTCGAACCTGCTGCAGCAACCGCTCCATGGCTTCGATGTGGCCCCGGTACTTTGGCTCGCGCCCCTCACAATCTCTCCAGTCTGGGGAAAGTAATGGATGAGAGACATCAGCTAAACACGTCTCAAGGGGCCCACAGAGTAATGAACGAAACTGGCCTCATCTCTCTGTCGTGTTTAATATAACCTCACATGACGCACGGGCATTATTCTCGCACACTGCGGCAGGCTGCGGCAAATCTTTGCCTTTTCACATCTACAGATTATTAGAATGCCATTGCTTCTATGCTCCCTCCAGCTTTCATGAAATAAATCAACCTACACGTTCCACGGAGACAAAACAGATACTGAAACTTTGGAGCGGATTCCGACTATAAACTGAAAGACATTCTCTGCCTTCAAGGATGAAGGTTCTCAGGCCATCTTCGTGACTGAGTATTTTTGATTCTCTATCACAAGTGTTTAAAGGTAAACATCTTACATAAAAAAAAAATGTACAAACAGACTGTACTATTCTTTACAAGTAGCCGAACTGCATGCCCAAAACCAAAGGTCTGAGTATTTTTAAATTACCACAACAATACTGGGAGCAGTAATATTGAACTGACTACTTCAAGGGAGCATTTCTTCGCCAAATAAAATCATATGATAAGTAATGTGACAAACTTACTGGACGGGGCAGCTGAAGGAGGCAGAGATGGTTGTGCTGGACTCCAGCCCTTCATGTTATAAGCAGAGACTTGAACATAATAAGTCCTTCCCTGCCACAATGCAAAACAGACAAGGTGATTACTCATTCTGTCTTTGCTAGAATGGTATTAACGCCGCACCATCAAACTGAAATAAATCTCCTTATTTATGTTGTGTATTAAAGGCAATATGTTGATCGCATGATATTTTTGCAAATGTGCTGCATACAAAGTGAGTGGGTGTAGCTGCCTCTGTAGGTAGGGAGGGGTGACTGAAGATGCTCCTCTGCATGAGGCAGCAGAGAAGGACGGATGTCTACAAGAGGTTTGACCTCCTGGCTGAATGGACCAACCGAGGAGACAGAGGTCACCACTGGGCATAGACCCCCTGCGGGGGCTGGGGGCCAGGGCCCGGCAGACAGGCAGAGCGGAGCCCCTATCTGACCGCTGACCCTCAGCGATCTGGTGGGAAATTACCGCGGATTGCACCTTAGCTTCCCTCGCACGCAGCCAATCTCCTCTGATCTCTCCACATGACAACTCGTGAAAATCCTTTATGCTGTCTGCTTATTCCTTTGTGTATCGCAGATCACGAATACCAGACAAATTACGCTTAATGACTGGCGGCTGTTGCCAGAGGAATGGCCGATTTGGCGTTATTGCCAAGAGTGCTGAATAAAAATGTCAGGACCCGCCCTCTACTTTGCTAAATGTCGGCCTAGCGGGGGGTGGCGTTGGGAGGCTGCTCAGTGGAGCGGTTTGGCATTTACCGTAGTGAGCCCTGAGATTGTGCACCTCGGAGACTGCAGATTATCCAGGATCATTTCCCCTGCCAGCAAAGAGAAGTCCTTCAGGCAGCTCCACTCTACTGCAAGACAGACAGAGCAAAGCAGCCACTTCAGTACAGAGGTCTGCAGTCAGGACCCCAAAGAGCAAGGGCGAGGGCCCTACCTGCAATGCAGGACTTCTGAAAACATTCATTAAATCCAACCACCAGTGATGTAAAACGAGCACAGCGACTGTATATAAATATTTTGAATATATGCTTAAATATGCTGATGCTTAGTTGACATTAATGGTTGCAATTTAATACAATTATTTTGACAAGGCAGCTGAGAAAGAATCTTTCATATGTATTTTATACATGAGCGTTAGCTGTTTACAAGAGATGAAATTTCACTTCTTCGAAACAGAAGTTTGACTACCAAATGTTATCTCTTCATGAAATATTAACTCCAAGTGAAAAATATGTTCTTCGACCGCAATTTGTTATTTCAACAATATACAGTATGAAAACATATATAAATAATGATCGAATCGTTTATGGGACATTGACTTTGCCAAAGTTGTGCGCACTGTTGACTTTGGAGATATTTCATACTTGAAAACAAATCTGCGCAGTATTTCAGGGTCTGGCAGCGCTCGGTGCTTTAAAGTTTGTGCAGAGAGCTCTGCCCGTTCGGAGCGAGGTATCGGGTGAATGTGCTACTGATTGGCGTCTCTCCTGGTTTGCGCTAAATGGACAGCACTGCGCCCGTCTCTGAGCTTCTCTAAATGGCCACAGGGGGCCTCAGGTTACAGATGAATATCGCTCCCATCTACACATGTGCTGTACATTTGCAAGATGAATACAGATTTAAGAAACATATGGAATTGGGTAACAAAACCTCCTGTGCTTGATATTCACTTCAAGGCGAGGATAAAGGTAGAAGGAGACGAAGGTGAGCATGACTTGTAGCAACACGTAATGCTCTCCAACCATGTGAAGCAATTAAAACGGGTCCCCTGTAAGCCTGATAGCTGAAGATGCAAATGGTCCCCCAGCAGTCTACCAACATTCCTATCTGTAGAAAGCAGCCTGTCCTTGGGAGGGCACTGTGAGCACTTTGTGTCGCATGATGTGAGCGCAGCACTTCATTCCTTTTAAAGAAGGGCACTTTGTAAATCCTGATTTCTCACTCTTATTGAGCTGCTCACCTTGACTAGCCAGAGACTGACAAAAACAGGCACGATGAAGACTTCATCTGTATTCAACGAGAAGTGCTCAAGGACTTCAGACTGCCGTCAGAACCGTCAAGAGAGAAGCAGCGCAAAGGTCTCTACTGCCTGTTCCCTATTATCTCCCATGGTGCAAGCTTGCTAAATATAGCTCAGGGACACAAAGAAAAGCAAAAAAAAAAACTATAAAATTTTAATTTAAAATAAAATTTAAGACTAAATGAAAGGAAAAAATGAACAGAAGTGCAAAACAAATAAAATTACACAGAACATGAAAAAACCCAAGTCAAACAGTTCAAAAGGGGAGAAATCAATAGTAACAATATGTGAAAATTACCTACAACTGTTCCCCATCCTCCTCATGTAACAAGTCAAACCACAAGCTATGCTCTTCTGAAACACCAGGCCCCAGAGAATTCTGACATTTTCATGCATGAGCTTTTAATGAGCCATGCTACCACTTACGCAACATGACTGATCACGTACTCAATAATATCTGACGGCATGAGCCACTGGTCGCTATATAATGGGACTTCTAAGTCCTATTTTATATGCCATGATTCTGAGTGAAGCAACAATGGATGTAAGTAGGTTAATGGCGGTATGCTTTGAAAGTTCATCTTGCGAACATGATCAATTCATGATTTCGATAGGGACTGAAGAATACATTATTATTTTATTACAGTATGTTCCAGGCTTATGAGAAACATAGATCGTATATAATATGAAACTGAGATTATAATACATTATATGTGAGTCCAACACTTCTAACCACTCCATCCATCCTTCCATTCTCCATCCATCCATCTTACAACCTAAAAATTCACAGGCACCCACTACATCCACAATAAACAATGGGCATTAAACGGACATTTAGTGCATCAGAAATGCCTTTTCATTTTGCTTATGTACTTGAGTGAGAAGCACATGCACTGGTAGCTAAGGCCTTTATGCGGTTTATTAGGCTGAGCAATATTATTATCCTGTTTGAAAGGGTTGTGGGTCCAAAGTTCAGTAAATAATGCCCCTGCCTCCAGGTTTTGGGTCTGACTGTGGTCCAAGACTCCCGTGTGTGGAGCTTGCATATTCATGTGGGTATTCTCCTGGTAGCCTGGTTTCCTCCCACAGTCCAAAGGCATGTGGCTCAAGGGAATTGGTGATCTAAATTTCAATTAGTTGGGCTATGGGTGCACATGTGACTGCCCTGTACTGGTGCCTTGTTCAGGGACTCTGCATTGCTGTAATTGGGAGAGGTGGGGAGGGCATGGCATGTGTACTGTAGGACCAGGGATTTGGGTGATAAACATTCACATCCTATTCCTGACCGTAATTGTTTGCACCTGTCCCTCATTTCCCTTATTCTTTTTTTTTATATATGTGTGTACGTCTCCCTTCCAGTAGCAAACCAGAATCCCAGTCACAGAAGCAGGAAGTGCTGGCAAGAGCAACCATCTTGTAGGTTTTGTTTTTCTAGCAAATTCACCAGAGAGGTTTGTTTTTTCTCCCCCGCTCTGTTTATTTACTTTTACTCCTCTCTCTTTGTCCCTGATCCCTCGAGGAGGCAACAATCAATATAAGGCTATTCTTTGAAGCTCTTTGTGAATTTAATGAATGTAAGTTAAAACAAAGAGCAAAGTACATATATTTTTTAAAAAAGCAACCCGTAAGCAACAGACCTCAACTTAATTTAAATGCAAGATTAAATACAAAAGAAAAATGGCAGTCGGTGATGCTTAAAGTAATGAGAAAAGAACTCACCAAGAAAAATGACCCACTTTTGATTCATCTTTCATTTCACATTCCCTTACTTTTAATGATCTGTTGATTTTATATAAAATTTGAAATGGCATTTTGTCATTATGTCCACCATAATGAGAATGATTGGGAACAAACCTTACACCATAGCCAGAACTGTCAACTGTCCGAATGAAGTGAACACAAACAAAACACTCTCTTAGTGTTTGCTGCAGGAAGGAGCAAGGAAAGAAAATATATAGCACTGTTTTGAAAGCTAAAGCAGATATTTCTCCAAACGTTTTAGACCAATCCATGCATGTTTTATCTTACATCTTCCGTTATTTTTACAGTCACACCATTATGGTTTTTTTTTAGCATATGATCAGAATACAGGGAATCTATACTAACTGCATCCATGTGAAACATCCACAAAACAGTTCCCTGAATTCTTCCACAGAAGAAGTTCACAGGACTCTCTGCAGTAACATAAAGGGACATGGATGGATACTGGAGGCTTTGACCCAGTTGTTTCAGGCCGGCCCTGCACCCTCTCACTCCCGATCCTCACGAAGCAGGGCTCAGAGTTTGGGGAATAAAACACATCAGCTGGTAGCACGGTCCCTTCCCAGCCATGGATTTTCCACTTTTCTGGGAATGAAAGGGAGCAGCTTTTAGGAATGAGAGACGGGATCAGCAACCTGCCACGACAAAGAAGTGAGGAGCAAAGATAGATCAGCAATGTGCAGCGCAGAGACCAGACTGCTGTATGCAGACATGCAGAGCGAAAGCAGGCTTAAGGTGTCTGATTAAGCCGGGGGACCATGGGACTGAATTACCACCAGCATAATGGCTTCAGTTTTACCATCATCTACTGGACTTTCAACACAAGTGAAGACAGACGCCTGAAAAGCTCGGTTTTTCCGCCTGCATGTGTTCTCTTTTAATGAAGCCGTTCTTTTTATCATCTCAGTTTTATTTATTAATAATAAATCAATTTTGTATCATCAGATCCTAAATTATTTGGATCCCAAATGACTGGGCAGGAATTCATTTTTTTAATTTCTTTTTTTTAATAATGAATTATATGTCACTTCATTGTAATTAAAGTATTAAAGGATTTTCAAAGACGAGTTAATAATGCTTGTCCTGTCTTGTATGACTTCAGTTGTAAATCAGTTTGCGAGTAAGTGATATATGTGCTGTATATCACAAAATGCTGTATGCTAAAGGAGTTTGCTAGTTTGGTCATAATATTTATAACATAATACAATCATTTCACTGCTTACCCTTACAAAAATGTGGCTTAATTTAAAAACACACAATCTGGAAGCCAATATTTCATCACTTGCCTCATCACCAGCACTGAAATTCTGTAGTCATCAGATAAAGTCATTGAAACATATCTGGTTTCCTCACGTAAGATAACTGCACATTTTTGGGACATCAAGGATAATCTTGAACCCATAGATCAAATCAACAATGCTGCTATTATTAAGGGATTCTTCTGGAGCTATTCTTGGTGTTTGTATTTTAACCATGAAAATATATGAGCAGTTAGAAAATAACCAAGATCGAATCTCATCCGTCTCAAAGACGACCAACTGAATGGAAATTATAAAAGAAAGCAGTAATTTTGGGTAAGCATGGAAGTAAATCAAATGATATTCTATAGGGCTGTTAAATAGAAAAACTCCATTTTGGCATTCCGTCTTACTGTGGCTTCTGGTAAAAACCCAAGAATTTCTAATTTGACGTGGAGCCATTTGTCAGTGGAGAAAAGGAGTTTTATTCCTGCCCTACATTGTCTATAAGCATTGTCTAAGAGTTAGTTAAATAAAAGGTTAAAAAAATAGCAAAAATATATAGCAATTATACAGTGCTCCCCCAAACAGACCCACAATATCTCAAGAAAATGACTGATATTTAGGAAATTATTTAAAAATTTCACACAGAAAATAATAATATATAACCAAAGTGACCAGTGCTTTCATTGCGCTTCCAAAAGTTATTAAATATTGAGGTATTTGAAGTAGCTGACGGTGATTATAACTGATGATTGGTGCCATCAAAATGCATGGAGATCTCTGCCAGTTTTCCACCCTGGAAAAGTGAGCCATTGGGGTTTATTTTCAGCAGTGACTTCCAATTAATCACTATTGACGTGCACAATTTCTCGGAATGATTCACAATCTATCCCTTTAGATTAAAAATCACCACAAGCCCCTGTTTGGAAAAGCGGATATGTCAGCAGCTCATTTCTCACGCTGCCCTACGTGCAAACGGGAACACACACTCGCCCTCACAGCTTGGGTCAATGTTTTTGGACTGTTTTGACCCGAATCACGTTGGATTTTCAGCCTAATTTATTACTCTCGGTTTTGTGTGGTTCTTCTGTGCTAGAGGAGCCAAAAGGCTAAATACAAAGGAAAACAAACCAGTGTTCTCGCCGCTCGCTTAAAGCAAACAGGTCTTAATGTCTTTGAAGTGCCGGAGACACAGAGGGAGGCCTGAGCAACGACGAGTACGGAGACGCTGTGCTCACATTCCTCTGCTGGCAAACAGGAGCCACCAAGAGATCGGGGGTAAAACAGACAAATACTCCAGTGAAATTAAAGACATCTATCTGTGGAGGACGTAAGCACAGGAAACATACAACATTCGATACAGAAAATCACACGTGAGCAATCAGAGCTGTCACTCAACATCCAACAAACCGTTTATCCGGGGGAACATATTTAGTGCCAACGAGAATACAAAAATATACCATTATATGTCAGGAATTTTTTTTCTTTAGTGATTGGCTTGTGTTGGCAAGTCTGAAAATAAGCAGGGATATGATAAACAAGATGTTTTACTATAGCTTGAGAAGGACTTACTCAGGAATAAATAAAGACTACAGTCACCCATGCTGTAACAATTATTTAGGAGTCACTTAAATTACCTGTAACTGTTCCAAAGGCTCAGACTGAAGGCTACACCCCAGGAAGGAGAAGGACCACCCAACGCTTCAAAGAGCAAAGCCCTTGTTGTTTTTGTTAATGATTTAAATAACAGCGGCAAGCCACAATGTGGCTTGCTGAGGAACTGGGTTCTTGTGTGGTGAAAAAATGTTATTTGCTCTCCATAAATGAAGTGTTACGAGGCAGTGTCAAATTAGAGCTACAGATTCTCTGACAACAAGCTTTACAAAGCATCCATAATGTAAAAAATGCTATAAATATATAGTGGGTGGTGTGTAGTGTTTCCTGTCATGGCGAGCTGGTCCATACCCCTGTACTTGGTGACCACTGCTGAATTGATGCTGAGCGGCTCCTGATAGGTGACAGTGACTGATGTGCTGCTCGTCACACTCAGACGCACGTTGGCCGGTGCCTCTGGGGTCTCTGGGTGGGAGGCAAATAACAAAAGGTCACTCTCAACCAGTGATTCCCAGTCAGGTCCCTGGGGACCCACAGACAGTCCACGTTTTTGCTCCTTATTGGGAGCTGGGAGGGAGCAAAAATGTGGACTGTCTGGCAGGGAGCTTGGAGGGAGCAAAAACGTGGACCGACTGTGGGTCCCCGAGGGCCAGATTGGGAAACACTGCTGTAAACAAAGACCAGTGTGGGCCCGAGTAGCACAGAAATACTACAGAAAAAATATACAATTCTAAGCAGATAGTATCTGGATGAACAAAAACATGCAGAAGTATGTGTATAGCATGCTATGTGCTATATATCTTTTTATCTCCATTTCATTTTATAAAACTGTTGGAATTACAAAAACATTTATACTTTATCTTGCAAAGTTTTTTAAAAGCACATGTAAGATCTAATTTAAGCATGAAACAATTTCTCTGCACATAGGAAGCAGACTTATGTGACATACAGTATGTGAACAGTGATAGCATTCGAGCGCTTTTACTATTTGCTGAGTAAATAGTTTCATTTAGCCCTTCATTACCTATAGAGTTATACTTGAATGCTAATAATGTAGCAACAGTACTGTTTTACCCACAAATAAAACCTGTGTTTGTAAAGATTAGTTTATGATACAGTGTCATGGCATCGGTGTCTTTGAGTCTGAGTATACTGTGTTCCCTGGATTTTCTGAGAGAGTAGTAAGCATGAATTGCAGAGTATCTGCAGAAAAGCCTTCAGCTACCTTCTTCTCTGATCCTTGTTTTGACTACCTCAGGTCTACAGTGGTCTGGTTGTAACTCAAGCCCACATACTGGAACTAATTACATCATGCAGCATTGCTGCAATTCCACTGATGCCTCAGTGAGAAATGGCAAATCCCTAATGCAATTGGCAGTCTTCTTTATGGATGGCTGTAGTTACTTATTGCTGATGTCTTAAGGGATTCCTCTGTAGTGACAAAAACAGGAGAGCAGGCAAAATAAACTGGCAAGGAAAAAAAAAAAAGCTGAAATCATCCCCTCAATGGAGTGATAAGGGATATCATGTTCCCACTGAAGGAGAGGAGTCCAAACGACGCTTCAGCTGGATGCAGGCGGTAACGCCGGAGTGATGTGTGCGGAGCTCTTGATGACAATGTTTTCCCTTTTTGCTGTTGTGTGGTGTCACCCTTCACCACGACAGCTGAAACTTCTTTCGATGACTCACTCGCTGTACGCATCATCACCCCCTCACTGCAGACTTCAAGTATAGCATACAAAATTCTCAGAGAAATTACAGTACCTTTCCCTGTTCCCTTTAGTGAGTATATTTGGATCTCCCTGGTTTGTGTCATGGTAATAATGCCTGGTCACGGTGGGGGTTTAATTAGAGCACACGTGTCACTCACTTGACTGCTCGATGCCAGTCTTCATGCGTTTGTACAGCTTGTATCGCCACTCCCAGACTTTTAGCTGCTTTTCCCTGTCAGAGCCGTCCAGCCCGTCGCTCAGGGATTGGGCCGACAGTTCACTGACGCGTCTCTGAGCCTCCTGGACCAGCGTGGAGAGGTGCAAGATCCGACTTTCCAGACTGACAACTGGAAGAAACGGAACGAAAAGAGCACAGAGTGATGGCGCTGGTCAGAGCCTTGGCTACAGCACAGCACAGTCGGGTGGCACTCTGCTATTCCGGGACACCTAGTGGCCATGTTGATTACTGTTCTGCGGATCCTCTATTGCAGTGCTTCCTCCACCCCAGGCAGTCCACGTTTTTGCTCCCTCCCAGCTCCCGGCCAGATAGTCCACATTTTCGCAAGAAACATGGACTGACTGGTGGTCCCTTAGGACTGCGTTAGGAACACTGCTCTATCTGAGCTATTCTAAATCACTGTTCATTATGTCCTGAAGATGTTTAAAAACATACATCAATAAGAGGGTGATGAACACAAGGTCAGCATTCCACTCCAGACTGACTTATAGACTCACATACTTAATCAACTGCTAGCAGGGCTGTAAGGCCTGTTGGCCCTGGATTTATCCCATAACTACCCTCATCTATTCTCCCCTGTTGTTGGGTTGCCTTTCTCTACCCTTAACTACTGTATGATATCAACTGTTGCTTCATTCTGTGATTCTGTACTTCCTCAATCTTTGACAGAAACTCTGGGGAAACTAGGATGGGAAGGAAACCACATTTTAGAAAGGTGAAATAAATGTAACTGCATTTCTAGTTAGTCGTTGTTCTTTCAGTAAGTACCGTATTTTTCGGACCATAAGACGCACCTTTTCCTCCCCCAAAGGGGGGAGAAAAAGTCACTGCATCTTATGGTCCGAATATTGCTCTGCTCACATACTTTAACCCTCTGGGGTCGAGTGCATAGTTGGCGACGCAGCGTACTTCTCGCGTCTATTTCAGTTTATATCTCGCTGAAATCTTAATGTAGAATCATGAAAAAACGCTGGCTAAATCCGTAATCTGTCTTCTTTTCAAAACGTCCATTGTCGGAAGTATTACAGTTTTTAAAATTAGGTTAAATCGGCAAAAAATTAAACTATGTCCCCTTACTTTGTTTTACCTGCATCGGGGGCGTGTAGTACCGCTGTCACCCGAAGATCGCTATTCACATTCTAAATAGCCGCATTAGCGCGTATTCAAATCGCATTCGCATGGTAATTTGGAGAACAACGCAACGGTGAAACACTATCCAGATACATCCCCATGAAAGGGGGGAGGGATGTGGCCAGGTGTCAATGGATCATTCATACACATGAAAGTTTTTTGTTACTTAAGTGTCTCCTTGTTTCTTTGTACTTTTATTGGTTTTTACTGACTTTATTTGTTAATAACAGTGATATTGGTTCTTAATGCTGCTGTTGACTACTGTTCACTGTACATGGTTGACGTAAAATATTGTAGGACACTATTTGGTTCGGAATCTTTTTTTTCTTCATTTCCCTCCTTTAAAACTAGGTGCGTCTTATGATCCAGTACGTCTTATGGTCCGAAAAATACGGTACGCATGAAAAAAAGCCATACTTCATAAGCTCCAGGTCATTACAGTGTTCAGGGATAAATATTCCGAATAATAGTTTCAGCTGTAATGGTTCTAAAGCTCTTTACATTTACACAGAAACAATGAGAGTTAATTTCTTCCTAAATGTTAGGAGTTAGATTGTAGGTCATAGCCAGTGACAGTGACAGGTAATTAGGAAACTAAAATGAACTGAAGAATTCATTGTCAGAGGTGCATTTAATAAGAATGCAGAATTTGTCATAAGATTCACACAAGCATAAACTGACTGGTTCAATTTATAGTGTGAGTTTTACTGCATGTGACTATGGGGTGATCAGAGAAATTGCAGTAATGCATTTTGTATAATTTGTGCAATTTTCGTCTCTCTTAATTCATAGTAAATGAGATTAAGACTGCTAAAATAAGAAAAAAAACTCGACCTTTAGCTGAATATTATGCTATGTAGCTGAATGACCCAGTGATTGCACCCTCATTTGCTAAACAGCAAATGATTAATGTTTGTTTGCTTTGTGCAGAGTATTTATTACCCATCTCTGGATTATGCACATACTCTAAATGTGGTTCCGGAAACATCGGAACACATAAACACCTCGGCAAATGACAGGAAGTCCACTCATACTGTTCCACATCTCTTCTTCCTCTTTATAATAAGAGGAACGCAATTAAGAAATACCTGAAGAAATGACAATTGACATTACACCTGAGATAAATTAGGTAAGGAGAAAAATAAGATTAACATTTAACTAAGACAAAGTGGCAAAGTGAATTAGGCTTAAACTCTGCAATTTGCCTGCCACAGGAATTAGACGTCTGAATGACCATGAGACCATGAAATTGCAGATGCAACTGTCTTTGGGGACCAGTCCTTGCTGATTTTCAGATGCCAGTCTCTTTGGGAAGTACTTGCATGATATGAGAGGTTCAGTACAGTCAATACTACAACCAGAGCCTTTTATTTGGGGTTCTTAGGTAAGTATTTTGTTGCAAATAGTCCCATTTCAAATACAAATTATGCAACCGCTAGTCAGAATCAACAGAATACTGTCACAACATGGTAAAATAGAGAAATGGCACAATTGGTGTGCAACTGAAAATAATGACTGGAAAACCTTGTAATAATTTTTTCTGTTTAGCAAGTATGGGAATTTTCAGGGTATCAAATAAAATCAATAAAGCCCATTTATATAATCACTAAATGAGGTTTCTCTGCTTTTATAATAACAAGCTAAAATGTTCTTCTGCGTTAATGTTCTTCAGCTTACTGTAAAATGTATTCCCTGCTGTCTCAGGTACTGAAAACAATGACAAGGAAATGTTTTGAAAATGTAACAGAAGCTCCCTAAAATTCCTAATTCTTTATTTCCACAAATATTCACATTAGTTATGTTGTGGCTGTCACAGACTAGAGAAATATTTTTCCCTTGAGTCTTGCTGGTAAAACATAAACTCAAAGCTAGATGATAATAAAACACCACAGCATATACTTGTGGTTATAAATTTTCTAAACATAACAACTCTCGTACTATTACATATATTCAATAATTGATTGAAATAAATTACACCTGTTGACATCTGGCATATCTGTACCTGAACAAACAAAATTCTAACATGTTAAAAAGGTGTTAAAAATTCTAACATGTTAAGATCGATTCTCCCTTTCCTATTAAAGTGCCAAAGGTAGAGAATAATTTTCAGTCAAGGACTGATATAACTATGATGAGGGAGATCAGCATAGATGGGGAAAATAAATGGTAAAGAAAATTAACCGGAAAAGACATACATTTTTCTCCATTAGAGTCAGAAAAAACTAAGTCATCAAAAATTCCTACTAAAGAACAATACCCGGGAGCATAAAGAATCACATTCTCTGTTTAAAAAGAAGTTAAATCAATGTGTAAGTCTGTTTGTGGCTGCTGTTTCTCATTAGTTTTGATTTGTTTTCTACCGAAGCCAGTTAAAAAAAGAAAAAATATATATGTTTTTTTACTTAAATTCTGTCTGGAACACACAAGGCCGTGTTAAACCTGGTTGATTTGTCATGGTGAAATGAATTCTGCCACATGAGTCTGTTGTACACAGCAAGTACTGCTGCAAGACCAGGACCTTAACAGAAAATATACAAACAAATATATTTCTGAGAAAGCCTCTTTCAGTGGGCTGTTATGTTAGAGTAATCCCCTAGGGAGAGGGGTTTACAAGATAAATGATAAAGTAAGTGTTGTAGACCCAGAAAAGCAATAAAGAATTTCCTTACTTGGGGGTCTGCACAGTAGTGGAAAAGATGGCAGAATTATAAATTCTGAGGCACAGTTTCCTGTGCTCTGAAGATTGACATCTAGGAGCTAAACGTGTTTAATTGAGCCACCTATAAACGAATGGTTGAGCCTAGCGATAGTGTCTTGACACACACGGTTCTTACTGTTGGGAGACCAGGAATGTCCTAAATGAAGCATTGTAGGGACAGGGCAATCCTCATAAATCTGTGCAAGTCCTCACACACAACGTAAGGCCTTAAATTGTCAGCTCTGTGGTCGATTGGTTTACTTGGCAGTTTTGGAATTACATAAATATAATGCGTACTGCCGCAGAGGAAAAATACGGTCATGTTTATGTTTGTTTACAAGGATCGGGTTGTACCATGTTATGACTTTGTTTATAAACTTATTGCAAGCAGAGGCACAATAAATCACTTCGTGTAATTGTCACATATTACATGCATCACTGGAAAACTTAAACCATTAAATGACAAGCCAGGTTAAGATTTCATGGGGGTACATCTTACCCTGCACCCCCTCCTCTTCTCTCCACAAAGTCTGGCCCACAGTATTTAATGTTTCATGTCAGACAAAATTCCGTAGTATAGAGAAGTACTGACAAATTTAAACACTGAGGTCTTGTATGGTTTTTTTAGCGCTGTCGTAGGAGGTAAGAAACACCTGTTAAACTGCTACTAGAGTAGTACCAGTGCCAGCCAGACAGAGAGTTATTTAATCCGCTTTCGGGGTGGGGGGGCTGACCAAGACTGCAGGGACAACTGCTGCTGTAGTAAGAACACATCTGTGTAAAAACCTCTTTCAGTTCCACCAGCATTGAAGAGCCTATTTAGCAAACAACTCTATTTTTGCACTGAAAACGATATTGTACTAGACTGTTTTTGACTCCTAAGAATGAATTTGGAGAGTTATGAATAACAGCCAGAGGGATTCATTTTTTTTAAATGCATTGTGTTATAACAAAACAAATAACAAGGAGAGCAGACCCTGGATATAGAGGTGAAAATAAGGCAGTGTGCTTCAGGCAAAAGAACTGAATAAACTAAATATACCAAGCACAAGGAAGGATTTTTAATGCAAGTTATATTGAGTTTTGTTAATATTGTTGTTGTGTGGGATGACCTTTGACACAGGAAGTGTTTACTCACAGTGTGGACTCTCCTTGCCGCCGGCCTTCAGCAGCAGCCTGGCCACCGGTACATTGTTTGTCATTATCGCAATATCCAGAGGAGTGAGGCCCTCACTGTTGGGGGTGTTGAGGTCCAGCTCATCGGAGGTATACTGATACAGCAGGAGCTGCACTGCATCTAGATCCTGCTGCTCCACAGCCTCAAACAGTGCTTCACTGCTCTGCATAGCCTGTCAGAGGTTGTTTAGAGAGTTTAGGGGTCAAGTGGAGACCCATCAATTCATTTACATTCATTAATTCCCATCTTGCCTGCTTGAGAAAGTGTGAGTAATGTGCTATACGTTTACTTTTCAAATTTAATAAAATGCTATGTTCATTTATTTCTTTCAAATTTTAAAACAGTGCACCCTAAAAATACCTATTAAAAGTGGAAAAACCCAATTTAGATGATGGATAGTACAACATTAGACCAGTTAACAATCTAAACACTTCAACCCAACTTATGACTCTTCTTCAAGTGTTATCATTTATAATTATGTATGACATACATAGAACCAACTGTTTTCTGTGGCAACCATTTTTTTTTACATTCATCTTACAATATAAGGTTCAGCAACATCTGAGACTTTATTGCAATAAAGATGCCAGTCTTTTTGGATAATTAATTGGAGATAACTGGTTACAAATGGCATAGTTACTAAGCACACATTATGGAAAAAGTTTGAATTCTATTTGACCTCCCGTCCTGCCCCCTCCCCCCTGAAATCTGAGAAGGTCCATACCCCATCATGCACTTGGAAATGTCTCAAAGACCGATGCACCACATTCTAGAACAATCTGGCAGACAGCAAAGCTTGAGGGGAGGCACGGGCGATATGGAAAACCAGCAGGAGATGATGGTGCACTACATGCCGTCCCACTAATGGAAGTGTCAGTTTCTTGTTGGAAAACAATACACACTGTCAACCGAATTTCATTTTCACTTATTTCCAAATTGCTCTTATAAATTCCCAGGCCTTGTCCTGTACTTAACACTGTTATAAAGCCTTGAGTTACTTGATGACCCAGCCTCTGCCAGGCTGACGTTTCGGGTGACACTCACAGAGGGCTTTCGCAGGCGGTCGGGCCGGCCAAAGGAGTAGGCCTCATCGAAGGAGGAGTGGCTTCCCTTCAGCTTCTCAGACAGGTTGCGGTAGAGGCGCTTAGCTGCACTGGGGGAGGCCGGGGCACTGCTCTTCTTGTTGTGGGACAGGTGTAGGTTCTGCATCTGTTGTGTCATGCTGGCAGACAAGTTCCTGAGAAGTTACAGGGGAACCACAGCATGACATTCTTCTTTCTCTCAGTCTCTCTCGCAGAACCCCGATGAAAAATAGTAACAGCTGCGATTCTGAAAATCTGGTAAATTAGCATGAATATAATTATACTGTTTAGATGACTTATTTTCAAGGCAAACACTTAGTCTGTCCATTTAAATTTTTAAAGATTTATATTGCTGAATATTTACTTAAGTAAATTTAAGTGTTATGGGGAACAACATCTGGGGTCTGCTCTCAATGTTCTAGTGATGCTGTTAGCTCTGTTATTTAATGCATAAATTAATTATTTAAGATACAAAAATAAGTTTTTATGACGCTGCACATAAATTCCTTGCCTTGTTATACAGTAAGTAGTATCACAGATTATCCAGTAAGGATGGACCATTTTATGTTGTGATGGATATGATAGTAAAAACATGACTTCAGTGCCACAGAATAAAGGAAAAAATTATAGGTATATCGTGAGGAACCAGGCCCATACGCCATTATTACGTGAAGGCTACGTTTTGTGGGATGTACTGTATGGAACTTCAGGCAGAAATCTGAAAATCCCCAAGCATTATTGTGGATGTAACGGTAAGCTCAGAGCAAGGAGAGAGCACTGGCTGGGCACTTGCCAGAATAAATTAGCCATTGTTATATAACAAATCAAACCTTACCTGAAGTGATCTTGCTAAATCAAGCATTCATGCATTAAATCTGCGATTTTACATACAATACACAGCTGCCTTTTATGCATTTTATCTGCTTTTTATCCATTTCAATGCCTTAAAGCTGGTCATTTGGTGTGAAAATGCCAGCCCATGCCACTAATCAATAGAGGATTTTTTCAATATAGATTATCATCCATTTTTACTATAAATATTACATATACTGAATATGCACTGTTATTTTCTTGAAGTATTTCTTTAAAATGCATAATAAAGTGAGGTTTGTTAGATTAAACAGATCTTACAGTCACTGCATTTTCAGTAAAGCACCCTTAGGGCTGCACTTCATCTCTTACAACAGCAGTGAGAAAGGCAGACAATATATGAAGATAAAAACTGTAACAAATAGTGACAGTAAAATATACAGTAAAGCTGATATCAGTTGGGTCTTTATTGAAATTCTGAGATGCTTTGAACTGTTAAACAAGCTTATTCATAATAATTAAATTTTTCATTACTCACATTGGCAAAAAAGCACATTTTGTATTTAACTTCACTTATGTTACTGATTTAAAGTAATTAAAATTTGATGCTGATGTGTAACCACAGGCAGAAGATAAAACAGGCTGAATATGTGATGCATAGTATTACCATAGCAACCGCAATTTAAGTGCAAAACCACAGGCTCCTATAGGCAGCAATGCAAACAGAAGTGTCTTTGCATTTTACAGCACATGCCTGGGGATAAATGCTTCTAAAACACTTAATTGTTACAAAATTCAGTTTAACAAGTTAATTGTAAATCTGAAAAACAAAACACTGGGAGGCTGGAGTTAAATTATTAAACATTTAATATAGCAGGTAATGTAACCAGATACTCATTTATCTTACTATTCTTTAATATTAGAGCTATTCCAGTGTGCTTTGGGTGTGCAAATATGAACCCAATCAGAATGGGTGTAACCCTGTACTCCCCTGTTGTTATGGAAACCTGATCCAGACCAGTTACAGGCTAATGAAATCCATCATCTGTCATGGTATCAAAGGCACGGTGAACAGAGAAACTACAGACTTGGATTGCTTGCTAACCCACTACCGTTTTACGTACTCTGATACCATGGACAGTAATAGCATAGACAAGTGAAACAAGCTTTAAGCAAACAGATGGAACTATGCTTTTCCGTGGCTGTTGGTCACATGTATGCCGTTTTATCACACTATCCATCTTCCGTAACACCTGTGACTGGTGCCTATTCCATGCAGCACAGGGCATGAGGCAGGTGACAGCCTGAATGTACTCCCAGTCCATCACAGAACAGAAGTCATCTTTCAGAACTGATCCATATTTAGTGTGCTCCAAAATAATCATTGGGGTGTGAGGATTAACATATGATGATTTATGCATGAATGAATGTATGACTCTATCATGATTTATCATCAATATACTGAATATTAACTGTGATAAATATAGTAACATTGCTAAAATAGATTTAAGATTCCGTACATGGACTGGATTTAATTCCGATACGTCCAATGAACAAAGGTAATCATTGGCAGTGAACTCTAGCTGTATATTTTTGTGAATTTAGTAGTATGGGATCTGAAGCTCTGGAAACCATTTGTGTCCTTATCTTAGCTGTGCATCCTATTGTGCTGCATGCACAAATAGAAGATACTGGGCCATATTCAGCATGACGTCAAGCTTCCACTATGAATGTTTGCATAGGGTGTTACAGTGTCATAAAAGAGGCCCGGAGGGCACCTGCTGTTATGAAACTTTGCTTTCACTTTTTAAATAAAATAAACAGAAGTGACAGACATATGGAGCTGTCACAGCAATCATATGACGCTAACAAAAGAATTACTTATGAAAAATGAAGAATTAATGAAAGAATATGTATATGGAAAACAACGGTCAGGAGAAACAAATTCCACTATACTCATGATGTAATAAAAAAAAAAATTGGCCTTTATTTGAATCACTAATAAGCAGAAGTTACAGTGGTTAAAAATGTCTAATATTTGCACAAAAACTGCAGGAGTAGTTGCGTATTCAGGTCTATGGGAAAGAAACACAGGCGAATATGTGAGTAACCAGCTTTCGGTGCTGTCGTGAAATGGGCAACCAAATGACAGGCAGCTATTCCGACCCCCAGCATTAAGCTCCACTATGGACGCAGAAGACGACACGACTTGCCGATGGGGGGGTCGGTGAGTGAAACGTGACACATTAAATAGCGTGAGGAATTCAGAATGACAGCTTACCCTGCAGTGCTCCGCCCCCCCCAACATTATAAATTTGACTTTGTATGAACTCACCATCTGAATGACAGCAGGGATTAAATGCAGTGAATGTTACCTAAATGCATATTCTAAGGAATTATAGTTCAGTTAAAAAGAATCATATAAACATACAAGACAAGTAATTTGAGCTACAAATGTCTGATCATCCTAAACATGTAACAAATGCTGTATGGGATATGCATTAAAATTTTAGGCATAGTTTGGGCATTTGTATTTCATACAACTTCACAGTATACATACTGGTAATTACTGGTCATTTGCAATTTTCAAGTTAAAATATGACTTATATTTACTTGAAAACTCTTAGTGGGGAAAATGTAATTAAATGTTTGCTGTCGATAATGGCACTTTGTAAATGTGTAAACTCCTTCCAATAATTTTAAAGTTTGAGAAATAAGTACGCAAAATACATGGGGAAATAATGTCCTCTATTTGACTAACAGCGCACTGTGTTCTCTGCAATTCCAGTGGATGTCTTGACAGCATCTCTGAGCCGACTTAAAGGAAATTTTATTCTGTGTCTAAGACAGAGGAGACCTTAGAACATGTACTGCACAAATATCGATTCTGCCTCTTATA